CTCATGTATGTTCCCTGGTTTTAGCCATGGAGAAAACTCTTGGCTGGAGACAATTTTGGTTACATTTACACTTGCTCAGATTTTCCAGACAAAAAGTTAATGGTGCATCTCCCAAATGTCCCGGCAGCAACAACGCTTTATTGGTTCCGCTATCGGGACAGAACCAATAATGGAGAGCCGTTATTTTTTTCAAATAAAACATTAAAAAATTAAGACATACCAAAGACTGATTTAAGACATTTTAATACCAATTAAGGCCTTAGTGTTATTTTGAAGAATTCAATGCCTTTTAAGGCTTTTTAAGGACCTGCGGGAACCCTGCAAAGGGTCGGATCCGTTCGTCCGTTTCAATCTGCATGTTTTATAAGCAAAAACAAGGCTTTGATGGGCTACTGTATAAAGCTTCGAATTAAACGCTAATTCTGACATTTCGAATTGAAAAAGCTTCCTGGATGGGAAGAGAAACGTCTTCAAAGTTGAAAACAAAGTCCAGCGGATTGTTTTAACTTTTATGGTACGTGTTAAAAGTGCAGTTGATATTTTTTTCATGCAGTTCCAGCTGGATGCCCATTGATCAATGACAAATTTGATTAGAAAACCATTAGAAAGAGTCGAATCTGAAGTGTTTATCTGCATTTCCAGCAGTTTTTCTTTGCAGGAACGGATTTCAGCTGCGACTTTCATTGAAACCTGATTTCTGTGATGGACCTACTGCTGCGTTCCAGTGGTACATTAGCGGTGGCTGTCGGCTAAAACAACCAATATAATCAATACCCTCTATATATTCCACACAGAAGATCTACAAAGAGAAAATTTTAAAAAATCTGAGTGAACCAAGCTTCCTACAGGCGGCTTCCTTACCTGAAGATGATGTCATAATAAAAGTCACTGCTGGCCCGTATGCAGGCGACCGTGCCCTGTGGTGCAAAGCGGGACTTGATGAAGGGCCGAGGGTGGAACATGCTCAGCAGGGAGTGAATCAGAACCTGAATTGGGAGCAGAGGGGCTTACAGTACATGATGCGTTCAGTTTAAGCTCAAACAACCTGAGCAGGAGTGACGGTGCACCTCTTTGCCTTTCGGGGTGGGAGGATAGTAACGGTTGTTGGGTAAGTAACCGGTGAAGATGTTGAGCTCGCTGGGAATCACCCACCAGGTGTCTCCCGCTTCCACTTTACCCTTTGGGGGCAGGAACACTCTGAACTGGCCTGCGGGGAACGAAGAGGAGGGCGTCGCAGGAGCCGTCCAGGAGCGCAGACCACTCAGGGAGCTGTGGGAAACCTTCAGAAATAAAATACAACAATGCTGGTTTAATACAAATCATCTGCTGGTTCTGGATATTTGGGCGCTTTTAGCAGCAGAGTGTAATCATCATTATCTTACTCCAAGAAAACCATCCTTGCTTTTAGTCATGGAGTCCAGTAAAAGAGGCTGCATTTTGGCCTCCAAGATCAAAGCTTCTCCATTTGGGTCGTCAATCACATCCTCCTCCAAATCCACCGGCGGGATGAGCCCTGCAAGGAAACCACTGTTACCATACCTTTAAAAAGTAGCTTTTATATATATATATATATATATATATATATATATATATATATATATATATATATATATATATATAATCCTTTCATTCACATTCACCAGCCTTAATCTGCACAACATAATCTAGATATTTTGCCGTTTAAGGGCTTCCAATGTGACTTTTCTGCTTGGCAATGGCAGTGAATCCAGTTTGAAAATAAATGAGCAAAAAATACTGAATATGCAATGAAAACAGAAAGAGTAAAAGCTAAAATGATGCACCTGTGAGCTTCTCTGCAATGGGTTTGAACTCCTCCGGACTCAGATAGAGGTCATGGTCTGTGTCCAAGGAGGAGAAGAGAAACAGGCCGTCGGCACCCAAACTCCGAACGCCCTCTTCCTGAGAACAAACAGAGCTTTACTGTTAAGTTTTTAAAGCTGCAGCACAAACGAGGTCATGAAGTCATGACATCAACTGAAACACAAATACTCCAGAGCATAAATGATTGCATGTTCAACTCATGGGTGTGGGTTAAAAAATAAAGGCTTTAGATCAGCCCCATAACCAGCATTGAGAACACAGAGCTCATGTCCTCGGTATTCTTCCGTTTTGTTTTTTTTTATTATTATTTTTATAGCTTTTTTAATTGAGATTGATTTAAAAAATCTCAATTAATTGAAATTTCAAAATATATGATAAAAATTGTTGACAATAATAGTATTAATGAATAATAATTTAATATTAATAACAACAATAATAATGTTGTATAATGATGATAATAATAA